ACAACCCCTCAAAAACCAAACAAAACCCCCCCTCTCACACCTCCCACAGAAAAACCATAACCCACCTCCTCACCCAATCCACCACCGTCCTCTGCGACCGCTACTACCACAGCGGCATCGTCTACTCCTCGGCCAAGCAAAACCCCTCCCTCACCCTCCCCTGGGCCCGCGGCCCCGAAATCGGCCTGCCCCGCCCCGACCTCGTCCTGTTCCTGGACCTGGACGAGAACCAGGCGCGGGCGCGCGGCGGGTGGGGGGGCGAGGCGTATGAGAGGGCGGAGATGCAGAGAAGGGTGAGGGAGCTGTTTTGGGGGTTGAGTTTGGGGAGGATTGGGACGGCGGGGGTGGGGGTGGAAGGGGGGGAGTCGTCGGTGGTGGTGGGGGGGGTTGGTAAATGGTGGTGGTGGTAGTGGTGGTGGTAGTGGGGGGAATGGTGGTCCCCGGGAGGAGATTGCTGTCGGGGCGCCGACTGCTGCTCAGCCGTTGACGGGCGTCGAGTACCGGTTTCGGCAGGAGGAGGAGGATCTCCATGTCGTGGATGCGAGTTCGTCTGCGGAGGAGGTGGCGGAGGAGATCTGGAAGGTGGTCAAGGCGAGGGTGGAGGAGGTGGAGAAGGGGCTTGTTGGGAGGACTGTGAGGCGGGTTTCATGATGGCGATGATGATGATGATGGTGATGAGAGAACCTTTGGAGACTGAGTTGGATATTTGAACAAGTGTATGGGTAATAAAAGAGACGCGGCCGCATCGGGTGGTGTACGATATGTAAAGCAGTTTTTCACAGGAGGTCCTGGCAAGTGGGAATAGGTATTCAAAAAATCTTGCGGCGGTTGAAGTCGCCCGCAATGTTCAGTTGAGGCTGGATTCTATATAAACAACACACGTACAGATATCCGTTTTCCGCCCAGTACACCAGGCCGTGATCAAGGCCGGAGAGAACGACAGTGCCGTGTTGAATGACCATAACCCGCGTATGCAAAATCAGAGAGCCAACCCGATGTTGAGATCCTCGCCCAGTTCATGATAACGTGTACATGACATGACCCCTGGATGACCCACGCGCACCCTCCCAACCGCTCCCCCCCCAAACGCCTGTTGAATGCACAGTCCAAAAAAAAAAAAAACACACTTTGGCAACGTTTCGCTCGGCATCGCTGCCACAGGTATACGACGGCCCATTGTTGAAAAAACACCTTCACACCCCATATTGCGCCGGCATGCCTTGTCCATTAATGTCGGGTGCGTTCCCGTTCTAGAGATATCGTTATTGCGATCATTTAGCGGTTGACGCCAATGAGGCTGAGAAACTCGTTCCTGGTCTTCTCCTTGCGCTCGAAGCAACCCAACACGCAGCTGGTGATGGTGGTGCTGCCCGACTTCTGGACGCCGCGCATGACCATGCACAGGTGGCTCGACTCCATGACGACGGCGACGCCCTGGGGCTGCAGGACCTCCATGACGGCGTTGGCGACCTCCTTGGTCAGGCGCTCCTGGACCTGCAGGCGGCGGGCGAACATCTCGGCGATGCGCGGCAGCTTGGAGATGCCGATGACGGCGTTGCGCGGGATGTAGCCGATGTGCATCTTGCCGGTGAAGGGCACCAGGTGGTGCTCGCACATGCTGAACACCTCGATGTCCTTGACAATGACCATCTCGTTGTGGCCCTCCTGGAAGATGGCGCCGTTGACGATGTCGCGCACGTTCTCCTGGTAGCCCTTGGTGAAGTAGAGCATCGCCTTGGCGTACCGGTCCGGGGTCGCCAGCACGCCCTCGCGGTCCGGGTCCTCGCCCACGCACTCGAGCAGCGTGCGGACCGCGCCCTTCATGCGCGCCAGCCGCGCCTCCTTTTGCGCATCGTCCTCCTCCAGCCGCTTGCGCGTGCCCACGCTGGGCCGGCTGAGGCCGTCAAAGTCGACGACGGGGCTCGGCGACCGCGTTGAGGAATCGCCCGCCTCGTCCGCCGTTGCCACCTCCTTTATGGCGGCGGTGGCGGGTGTGGACGTCTTTCTCTTCTTCTTCTTGGGTGTCGGCTCCGGCTTGTCCCGGAAGTCCCGCGCGGGCTTGCTCACGCTGGACCGGCGCTCTCCGATCGCATGTGCGCCATTGGGGTTCTTGGAGGAGAGATCCCCATTGCGCGACCGCTTCTTGCTTCTCTTGTCGCCGTTGCTGTGCTTTGCACTATTGACGGCGGGCGCGGGGCTTTCGGAGCCGGAGGAGTGATCAGAATGAGCCATTGGGCAATCGAATGGGTTGGTTGGTTCTTGGTCGGAGTAGGAAGGAGGGAGGGAGGAGCGGCGGGAAGAGTCGAGGATAGAGCGACACAAGGTGGGACCTGAGGGGCAGATGACTGTTTGACTTCCGGGATGGTTTCCGGGATGGTTCTGGGATGGAGCCAGGCACTCCGGTCCCGCTGGCTGATCTTGAAATTTCGGACCCCGAGCTAGGTCAATGGCGGCCAAGGCGGTGTCACCTCAATTGCTTATCTTATCGCTTGATGTTTGCCGAGGAACAGGGGTGTTTGAGATGAAAAAACGTGGTTGTCAACGGTTTCTGATTCCGGGTTTTTGGTTGGCGAAAACCCAATGGCTTGTTACTCCTCTCAGGTCGTGGGACGAAAAAGTTCAGAGGAGGGAATTGGCGAATCCCCGGTTCTCGCAACCCATCGTCCTTTTGAAGACAAGCTCCGAAGTGTCCGTCCTACATACAAGTTTCGGAAGCCGTTGGGACCCGCTGCACAACGGTGGATAACTCGGCTTCTTGCGGGGTTATCCTATGACACCCTTGTGAGGTAATGGCGGCGTGTTGCATTGCCGCCGGGGAAGCTTGCAGGGGAGGCCGGAAAGTCGCGTCAAGCTTGGAATTCAACCATCAATCATGCCCATCCGCAGCTTTCCGTTTCCATACCTATTGTTTGCTTTTTGAACCACCAGCTATTCGTTGATATCTCGGTGTTTGATGGTTTGCAATCACGGTAAAACATACATATCTTCATCTCATTAATCAAAATTTTGATGGCCTAATCAAGTTCAAGTTGCGTGCTTGATTCAGTTGTTGAAGCTCGGACCATTCCGCGTGTGACCGCCCTGATTTCCGCCACCGATCGTGCACCTGTCGCCAAAACACCCAAACGATGACCTCTCCATCGTTACACTCTCCACCATACTTGCACAGCCAACTCCCCGGCATCAACAACATGTCGACCAACAAAAAACGAACCTCGGACGGCCCCGGCGCACCCTCTCTAAAACGCCGAAAAGCATCGACCCTCTCGACCGCTTCCGGGGCTGCTGGATCGGCCCACCCGCTGCGCCAGACCTCATTCCCACCCGACGACTCCTCCGCGCTTTTCGGCGGCGTACGGTCGCCCTCGGTCGATGTCGACACCCTCAGCCTCGTCAGCGGCAGCCAGGTCAGCGCCGCCGCGCCGATTAAGAAGAAGCGCGGCCGCAAGTCCAAGGCCGAGAAGGCCCGCGAGCAGACCCCGTCCGTCGTCGGCGGGCGCGCCGCCACCGCCGTCAGCGGCGTCAGCGGCGAGGGTGGTGGTGGCCGCGGCGGGAAGAGCGTCGCTGGCGGAGCGGGCGGTGGTGAGGAGGGTGACGGCGATGACGAGGGCCCCACCGAGGTTGCTGCGACCGCCGATGTCCGCACCAAGGAGCAGAAGGAGGAGGAGCATCGGATGAGGGGCATGCTCATTAGTGCGCTGTCTGAAGACCAGTTCTATCGGTTCGAAAACTGGCGCGCCGCAAATCTCAGTAAAGCGTCGGTGAGAAGGGTAAGGATATGTCGTCTTTTGGCTTTGTTTGAGCCCTGGCCCATTCACACACCAGAACTTCCGCTAACCTCCACCCAGCTTGTCAACGCGACTATTTCTCAGTCCGTGGCCGAAAACGTCGTAATAGGAATGCGAGCGGTGGCCAAGGTCTTCATCGGTGACATCATTGAGAGCGCGCGCCGCGTGCAGGGCGAGTGGATCGAGAGGCTGGACGAGAAACAGACCGACCTGCCCACGCCGCCCGCCACCGTCGCGCCGACCCCGAACCCCGATGGCGAAGCAGACGAACAACCGAGGGAAGCGAGAGATCCGAAGGATATACGGGACTCCGAAGTTGACGACCGCCGGGGACCGCTGCGCCCGGAGCACCTCCGTGAGGCCGTACGGCGATACAGGAAGGGCTTCGAGGGCGGCGGAGTTGGCATGCAATGGGTCTACCATCAGCAGCAACAGGGTGGTGTGGAGAGATTTCCGACGCGGACAGGAGGTCGTAGGATATTCCGTTAACATGGCACATGCCAACAGCGAGCATTATATTGGTTTGGGACGGCGCAACAGGTTGGGAATGATTATGGGATGGGCGCGGGATTATCGATACCTATGGATGGTACGGGGGGTAAATCACATCGTGTTTCGGGATAACGGGTCAAGCTGGTAGTATCTCTCCAGGTATACCATTAATGGTCTACGTGATCACTTGCTACGGGGCTGCGAAAGCTTTCATCTATGACATGGCTTGAACGCATGGTAAACGGGGCATCATGCTAGAACGCTGAACTAAGCCACCATACGCAAACTCCGAACTTGCCCGGTTTCCCGATCCCCTACCCCTACACCGCGTCCACCCCAACCATCGTAACATGTACCACAGCCCCTAGGTGAGAGGGGTTTACCACGACACACTCCGTGCCCGGGCCGACCTTGAACATACCATTGGGTCCAATGGGGAAGTCTTCCCGATCCGACAACTGCACTCGCACGGTGCCGCGCGCCACCGAGCACAGCCGCGTCCCCGACTCTCTGGGTGGCCACCGTACGCTGCTCCCCGCGGGGATCTCGAGGACCTGGAATGTGGTGCCGTCGGTTATGGGCACCGGTCGGCCCTGGTGAGGTACGAGGAGGAGAAGGCGACGACTGGGCAGATGTTAGTGGGTGTTGATCCTGGAGGGGTAGGTATGAAGGGCGGGAGGGGGTATTGGTGTTGGAAAGGGGCTAGGGGTAACTGAACAACTCAAGAACTCACTCTCGGTATCCGTCCCAGTACCCACACATATCCTACCTGGTGAGATCTCCCACTCGGCCATCGTCACCACCGCTGCCCCTGGGTCGTCTTGGCCTATTTCACTGCGCGCACCGCCAGATCCCGCCCCCCGAGTCGTTCTCTTATACCCCTGAGACAGGAACCGGCCACCAGCAGTTTTCCCGCTACTATCCCCATCCGCCCCTGACCCCGAGGCACTCCGCCCACTCCCAGAAGAACCGTCTCTCGACATCCAATCAACCGACCTACGCGACCCCCTCGTCCCACCACCACCATTACTACTACTACTACTATTACTCCCCACCAACCCCCCCTTCTCACCTCCCCTCCCATCCTCCCAACCACGCACCTCCTTTCCCCAACCCTACCCCTACCCCTACCCCCATCCACTTCTTCTCCTTCTTCTTCTTCCCCTACTTCTTCATGCACCACGCCCCCCGCGGCTGGTACACAGTCGCCTCCCGCCACGCCGCCCTAGCCCCAAGCTTTTCGGCGAGGCGGCGGATGGAGCTGTGGCGTTTTGTTTTTGTTGTTTTTGCTGCTGCTCCTGGTTTTGTGGTTGTGGTTGTGGTTGCCGCAGTGGGGACGGGGGTGGTGGTGGTGGTTTTGGTATTGGCATGGGTGGTGATAGTGGTAGTGGTAGCAGTAACGCCAGGGGCGGTGGTAATGGAGGGCCCATCAACGGTGATGTTGGTGGTGGTTGCGGGAGTGGTGGTGGTATGGAGAGGTTGGTTGCATGCACGTGCGGCAGCCGGGCGGGCTGGTTTGGTGATGGTTACCAACTTGGGTCGGCCGGCGGCCAGGACGGGGATGGCGGTTTTGTAGGTGTGGCTGTAGCTGTACTTGGGGGCGGCGGTGGGTGATGGGGAAGGGGGCGTGGAAATGGAGGCGAAGGTGGAGGTGGAGGTGTCGGGCTCGTGGGTCGGGTCGTTGTGGCCGTCTTCGTCAACGGCGTCGGGTTGAGGGGACAGGGCGGCTTGTTTAACGGTGTTCTCCGGTAGGGCATGTGCGCCGCCGCCCAAGTCGGATGACAACGAGAACCGGGAGACGCAGTACGGTTGGTTCCTGTTACTGCTTGTACAACGATAGAATCGGTTGCAGCAGCCGGCGGCGCCAAAGTACGCCTTGAGTTTTGCTGATGCCGCCACCGGGAGTGTGATACACTCGGGGAAAGGAAGAATCGAGGGGCTAGCACCTGTGCAGGTTTTGCATGCTAACTGATTCTTGATTTCGCAAAGGTAGACTAGCACAGCAAAGAGCGTGTGCACCGCCGGATAACCGCCGGCGAGCTGGAATCTCCACTTGTGAGGCAGGCCCCTTTGGCGCGAAAGAGGGAGCAGCTCGAGCACGAGCGGGCTGCTGAGCAGGGGCGTGGTATGCGGCACGTACTTCATCAGGTACTGCCAAAGCTCACTCGCACTCTTCCCGGGCTCGTCCTTGGCTGGTGCTCTCGATTCCGGCAAGCTGATCCGAGCAAGCGGTCATGGAGTCCCCTGATCGATATTAATGGGGAGTAGGCTCGACGACCGCGGGTTAAAGCGAATAGGGACATTCTCCTGCCATTCAGCACTCTTGGGTTTCCCGGTCCGCTGGGACCTCCTCTTCCGCTCCGGTCGTCGAGGCATCGCCCTTGGAGGCGCGGTGGCGGGGTCGATGGCGTTCCGCGAGACCACCATCGGGGGCATCCGGCCGGAAACGGGGTCGGCGGTTTTGCGTCTCCCAACCACAGACATGGTTCCGTCGAGATTGTCGTTAAGCAGGCAAGCCCGATGGCTGACCTGTGATTCTACATCAGTACCGCCGACCGCCGACTCCAAAACCAGCCCACTTACACTGAAATGCCCTCCAAGGGCCCAGGCCTCGGGGAATATGGTCTGGCAGTCTCGGACGGGGCAGATCCACGGGTACGTATCACCTACACGGGGCAGATATCCCTCGGGGAAGAGGGTGCCCGCGCCGAGTATCTTGCGCGGAGCCCCATCTATACACGTCGATCAGCAACTGTCAGGCAACTAGAAAGAAAGCAAGAGACCGAATCAACTCACCCCAATACCCAGTCCAATCCGAATACAGCCTTTTCCCTCACATGGTGATGGGCCTCTCCTCGCTGTGGCTACCATCACCGCTACCTTGGCTCAGCCTTCCCCGCAGGTTAGTACCCTCCAGCGTGTGGACCGCTTCTAGCCTCTGTGCCCCTCGACAGTCAGGGAGGTGGGCGCTGACCGCACGCTACGGCGCGGTGTCTCGAGCTACGGACGGCCTAGGTATGCTCGTGCCCATGCGTCGCGGGATGGGATGGCCTCTGCCGGCGGGATCGCCAGCATGCTCGCGGTTAGGTCCTTGAATAGTGGCTTGCGCAACAGTAGTTGGCGGTGAGATGAAAGGCCAGGCTGACGAGTGACGACTCCTTCTGGGTACTGCCCACTGTCCCCTGTGTTGCTCTAACCGTGCAGGCAGGGATGTAATATTGGGTATGTGAGTCGGTTGAGGGCGAGGAAAGAAAGCATCGCGCACGGCATGGCCTCCATTGGCCCCTGTTGTCCCCCGTTCAGAGGCCAAACATGAGGGCATGGGCGGGAGGGTAGTGAGTGCTGTTTGTTGGAGCTGGATGGAAATACTGCATAGGAGTGCCACTTCTCCTCAGCAGTCTACCTCGTCGCTTGTCACTCCTGTCCATGTCAGAGTGAGACTGAACACATGGGGCCGAGTATCGAAACGAGGTGGCAGCATTGTGAGTGTCTAGTAATAGGCGCCGCTTTGGCCGAGGGGAGATTTCGAATGGCAACTCGAGGCCATGCTTCCTGCTTGACGTGGTCGACACGCTTTGCCACCAAGTCCCAGAGCTTGCTGATACTAGGGATGAGCTCGACAGCGAGGGCGGGACGGGTTCCCGGTGCCCTCTCATCACGTTTTGTGCGGTGCGGTGTGATGGCGCTACAATTGGCCAGTCACTACTACTAGTGCTAAGTGCAATGGACGAGAATGAGCAGAAGAAAGTAAAAAAGAGCCATACGGTCCTGTAACTTGTCTGGGTTATGATCGCGTCTGTGACCCCGTCTATGTGGACTGCGTGCGCCTCGCATGCTGAACATGGCTCGGATATTGCTATCCATGACAATGCCGTTTCTGCGTGGTTAGCCCCGGAGTCCCCTTTGTGTTGAAGTAGGTGCCCGGTGTTTTGTGACCAAAGGGCTGGACGAGCTGTCGCTGCCGCCATCGTCTTCATCGTCCGGGAGTTGGCTCCGTCCTTCGACCCATTGGGCAAAAGGGGCTTTCACAAGGGCAGGCATGATCTCACAGGTGCAATTAGATGATGCAGATGGCGAAATGGATACAACAAGTGGTAGTCTTCGGGAGCCGAGGTCGGATTACGAGTATACATCCATCATGGTTGCCGATGATGCGGCAATGCAAGATTAAAGGTCCCAAAATAGGAATCGGTGTGTTTGTTGCTTTCCAGTTCCGGTGTCCTGACTTGCATTCCAACGCCACATCGTCACCCACCTCGGCAAGGGAGAGCAAACAGGGCGAGGAATGACGCACGGGTAAGCACATTGGATACTCAGACATGGCTGGTACACTTTGATAATGACTAGGTAGTCTGCAAAGTGGAGAGCTGGGTCAGTCTAAGGCTTTACCAACGATAGAATAGAATGGAGCAAGCTTCGCACTCACCCACAGACCAGTGTGATCACGGGTAGCATTTGGACAATATCTATTTTGACAGAATATGGTACAGCGGCCCTGCGCACACGGCCCTCGCCAGGATGCAAGGCATATATATGTCGGACGCCTCGATTCGGTTGCCACGCTACATATATCAGAGCCAAAAAAAAGCTCCCGTAAATCAGGCCTTGACATCTTTGTTCTCCGCCTTCTTGCTCCCCGCCACCTTGGTGGCCTCGGCCACAGCCTTTCCAAGGGAAGCCTTGACCGCCGCTGCAGCCTCCGCCCGCTGAGCCAGCCTCAACGCTCTCTTCTCGCGCACCTTGGTCCTGTACTCGTCGCGGCGGCCGGCCTTGGCCACCTTGCGCTTCTTGATGCCCTTGAAGTGCATCATGCGTTTCCTCCTACGCAAGCGGAACTTGGCCTTTCTCGACTCGGACTCGTTGGCGCCGGGCACGGAGCCGGCGTCGCCCACCAACCGGCCGATCTCCCAGTTGCTCTCGCGGTAGCTGTAGTCGGGCTGCAGGTGGAACACACGGGTGCCCTTGCGCGCGTCGAGCTCCTTCTGCTTCTCGCGGTTATGTGCCTCCCTCTTGGCCTGGGCCAGGAACCTGCTCCTGAGCTTGTCTCGGACCAGGTTGGCGACGATCGAGTTGCCATCCGCCAGAGGAACAAACTCTCGTGGCTTCTCGGCAGCCTTGTCCGCCTCGGGAGTCTCCGCCTCCGCCTTCTCAATCACTTCGTGCCGTGTTACTGAGCGGGGAATGCCGCTGGGTGCTGTGGTCTCCTCGACGGGCTGCTCAACTCGCCGGGGCACGGCCACGAGGCTCAGCTTGCGCCGGCGCGGTGCCGATACGGGGTACGGCAGCTTATCCTCGCGGTTGAAAGTGACACCAATGTACTGGCGCTTGGGGTGGCGGGCGGGGTCTCGGTAGTATTTGACGTAGCCCGCAACGGCGGCGTGGATGGTGTGGTCGCGGCCCATGATGGTGTTCTCGCCGGGGTGCCATATCGTACCGCGCTGCTTGTAGATGATGTTTCCGGTAATCACATACTGGTCTACGGACGGAAACACCGAGTCAGCAAAGCGTATCTCGGTTGAGCCAGCGTCCAATTCAAGACGAGGGACGCACCGCCGGTCTTCTTCGCGCCCATCTTCTTGGGGATGGTCTTCTTGGACTTGAGCTTGTAGGCTCCCTGTGACTTGGTCGATGCATATCGCCGCCCTCCCACGGTGGAATTGATCGCAGCCGGCGAGACAATACGGATTTGTGCAAATCGCTCTTCGAGGGTTCTCGTCGTCGTCGTCGCCGTTGTGGTGGTGGGGCGCAGAACAGTGCCGAATGACCGGCTACTGCTGCCGGCAGCCCTTTGGAGGGGCCCCTGCAGCCGTGCGAGATGCATTGGTCTGACGGCGAGCACCTCGCAGTGATCGTATACGGGGTCGGAGGACGGGGAAGGAAAAGGGTGCGAGATCCCGGGACCGAAACGGGGAACCGGAACACTGAACGCACCTGCCGCAGCTGGTGCTTAGTCGTTGTGTTCTCGGGTGAAGTTTTCGGCTGAGTCATCACAGCCAAGCACGATAAGATAGGAACCCTTGACCACCAGCAACACCCAGAAATGGATCTGGCCAGCAAGTCAAGATTCAAGATTCAAGGTCCGAATGCGAAAGTCCATTGAACTGAACAACGGGTTCTTCCTGAATTTCTTTCGCCAAACGGAGCCTCCCAACGCCCACCCGAACCACCAGAAACAGCCACACCAAATACAATGCGTCTCGTCGCCCTCCTCCTCCTCGCCCTGACGAGCGCCGTCTCGGCGCAATTTGGCTTCTTCGACCAGATGTTCGGCGGCGGCGGGGGCCAGCAGCAGCAGCAACACCAGAACTCCCCAAGCGACTCGTCGCACTACCGCAATCTGTATGCCCGCTCCCACTGCGACAACTACCCTCTGCCCCGACACACTCCGTTAGCGCCCCCTTTTCTTTTCCCATCCACCTTATTCTTTTCCTACCCCCTTTTCTTTTTCCTTCCCCCCTGTTCAACTTATACGCCCTACGATGGGATGGACTAGACCGACTGATACTTGCCACAGCATGCGTGCACTTCCCAAACTAACTGCCTTGCCAAATGGTCGCGCACGAGGACAAGTCCGAGCTGGCCGCAGGGGCAAAGGATATGCGTGATCTTAGGGGCGGATTACAAGGCCGGCGAGGCGGCGCGGAAGGTCGAGCTGGCGCGCAAGGGACTGCTCTAACACGACCCCGATCATAAGTTACCTCGTCTCCATCGTTGATCGAATGTGCACGTACGCTTGCAGCGACCTGTACAGAAAGAAAAGAAGCAAATAACCCGATACACTCTCAGTCGGGTAGTTCAATTGAGACCATGCCCGTGTCCATCCATGCCCCTGCGAAAAACATCCCGCCATGTTGCATCGCTACTAACTAACAGAAAGCCAAAACATCATTGCGATGTCAACGTGCAAAGTCTGCAAGCAAAAATAAACAACATTTCACCCACAAAACGCATACCACACCCACCAAATCAGCAGAACCACCCCTCACCCTACGACGAGCCATTAACCTTCCCCGGCAGCGCTGGTACAGCAGGTACAGCGGGCACCCCTCCCTCCCCATCCTCATCCTCATCCCCCTCCTCCTCGGCCAACTCCTCCTCGGGATGCCCCAACAACGCCGCCACATTCTTCATCTCATAATGCTTCTTCCTCAACTGCTCAAACCGCGCATGCTTCTCCCTCTCCTCCGCCGACAGCCCCACCAAATACTCCTCCTCATCCGCATCATGCCCACTCCCATGACTATCCACATGCACCGCCCGCGGCCGCTCCGCCACCCCCATCCCCTCATCCTCATCCAACTCCTCCTCCGGCTCCCCCAACGACAGCTGCGGGATCTCCTCATGCGCCGCCCGCCGCCGCCCCTGCTGCTGCTGGCTGCGCGGCAACACCCCATCCACACGATCAAGATCGATCGCGCTGGGGTCAATCGGCGGCGCCACATCCCCCTCCTCATCTCCATCCTCCGCATCCGACGGATCCTCGGCCGGATCGTAGTGTTTCGCGTACGGCGTCTTGGGCTCGTTGATCTTCATGGTGCTGGTGCGCTCCTGCTCGGTCAGGTACAGGTTGGCCTCGTCCCATTTGAGGCGCTGGCCGGGTTCGTCGTTGCCGCCGTCGTGGGGGGCGAGGGAGCTCTGGCGGCGGGAGGTAACGCCCGGTCGGGAGGAGGAGGAAGAGCGGCGGTGGCCGGCGTTGTATTGCGTGTTGGCGATGGTGAGTTCTTTGGCTTCTTTCGGGGTGAGGGGGGCGTGGGGGTGGTGGTGGTCGGAGGGGGGGCTGTTGGGGTGCGTGGTGGTGGTGGGGTGTTGGCTGTCGGTGGGGGAGATGGGCGGGGAGCCGCGGTACGAGTTCTTGAGGATGCCTGTTTGTTGGGGGGAATGGTCCGGCTTGTTAGTTTCTGATTCCTGATTCTTGATTCCTGACACCCCTCATTGCCCGGCGTGGGCTTAGTCGGGTGTCCTCCTCCCCAGTGATGAAATGGCCTCAGCTCTGCTCACTTACCCTTCGGGCGCGGGGCTTGTGTCCCCGGCGGAGTATGCGACGGCGTGTGTTCTACAGCGCTCGCCATCTTGTTTGTGTTTTTTGTGGTTGTCTGTCAAAATTGCTCGCCGGCTGTGGTATATACTGGTTGGTGAGGCCTTTTTACTTAGGTCGGGTGGCTCAGGTCGTTTTGCCTTGGTTCAGAAAATGAAAGTCGACTGGCGGTCCCTTGAGGTGGAATGACCCTACTGAAGGAGGGTCGGTGGGGCGGGGTCGTTGGATCCGCAACGCCAAGCCACGAACGGGAGCTTCTCTCTAAAGTGCAAGCCAAGCTCGCCGCTTCGGGGAACATATGCTGTTTGGAAACACGCATCGTCTCTGCAACGAACGGGAATAATATCGATTTTTTGCAGAGGGAGCTCAGCAACGTCACTGCGCATGAAACCCATCCTCGCTCTGTACGCCTGGACAACTCACTCGAATCACACGATCCCCGGCGCTGCCTGTCTCTGGTCTTCGTCTTCACCACCGCCGTGCCAACGAAGGCGGTTAACTCCAGCATCACAGCTTGTCAAGGGTTTTACCCACGGTGGCCGAATCCGAGACGCATACCTGTGGATACTAAGGCTCCGAGGGTAATCCTGTTTCTCATCCGAACCATCCAAACAACTTTTGTTGGTCTTTTGTATTTCTCTGACTCGTCGCCCTCGACTTCGCATTACGTCATTATCCGTCTTTCTAATCATGGTAGTTATCCTCTTTCTCAACCAATATACAATTTAATGCTGTGGTATTTTATTCCAGCACTTACTTTCCCATTCCCACGTTCCGTTATATTTATCTTGCGCCACCGCCTTGCTGCTTTTCTTTCTTAGCTCTTATCTAGTGTCCCTGAATTAGACAAACTCAGTCCCCAGGAGCGGTGCTCGGTAGCTGTAGAGTTACTTGCGTATATATGTGTTCTATTTTCCAATTGCAAAGGTCTACAAGAATATCTTATGAGGATGCCGCACGTAAAAAAATGGCCGTGGCTCTTCTAAACATGCCCTGGACCCCTCTCTCCGACCATCACCAAACAACACGCCCAGCCCCCCCGCCACAACCTCTCCCGATATGCCACCAAAACTCCTGCGCAGGCTAAGATCAACCCACTGCTGTGCCTAGTGCCATTGGTGTACCCCCACCCGCCGCCGCGCATTTAACCCCCCTCATGATTCCAGTTAATGGCCGTTGCCGTTCATAACACCGTTGCCGTTCACGTGCATCATGGCCGACGACTTGGACACGCCGGTATGCCGCCCCCAGGCCTGGAGCATTTCTCGCCTCACACTCCCGGTGGGCCGAGCATAGTCTCTTTGGGTTTGCTCCAAAATTTCGAGCATGGCGTCTTGCTCTTCGACTCGGTCGAAATAGTGCCCAACTGCGTATGTCAGTCTCGTGGTTTCGGCTTGACTCCTGGTAGGCTCCAACTTACAAACCGATATCGCCATACACGCTGTGAAGATGCCCGGCGGAGTGAACTGGTTCCCACGCCCTACGGCGCAGATCTCCCGGACGGTTTTGCGAATACGTTCCTATCCACGAGGTCTGGGTCAGTGTCCGACCAGACACGAAAATGAGCAGGGGCAACCAACCTCAATACTGGCTCTCTCCTTGGCTTTCATCAGGTTACCGGGTCTCAGACGGTGGTCCAACAAAAACAGCCTTGCCAACCTGTGGTGTTGTACACCAATAACTGTTGGCACGAGACACATTTCGTCAGCCCCCATGCTCAAACAAAACGGAAACCCGAAATCCCACTTGCCTTGACAACCTTGATGATACCAAATCCCCGGGAAAACACTCGCCCCCGGCGGTTCCGTAAAGAAGGGATCATACGACGGCGGCAGCTTCTCAGCCCAGCGCCGATTCCAGTTATTCAACTCGTCCCACGACTGCGGCTCATGCTTCTCGGGGGCGAGCCAAAAGTTGACGACGTCGGCACAGTGCACCACGGCCACGTTGGCCCACGCAAAGTCGTCCTCGGGCGGCTCGTCGAGCGACCGGTCCACGAGCCCCGGATGCACGAGGTACAGACACACCGGCTGTCGCTTGGTCACGGCGATGTAGATCTCCTGCCGCAGACCGACCCAGAACGATGCCGCGCCGAGGGTGCCCGGCCCAAACGACTGCACGCCGACAAACCGGTACATGCCCGGCAAGTGTCCACGCTTCAAGGCCTCGTGCGTTTCGTCCACGTCGCTGTCGGTCTCGTCGCGTAGGGCAGCTGTAGCTCGGAGGATCAGTATTTGCTTGTGCCATTCTCACACGGCTGACGTACCGTTCATTTCTTCCATGACCTGGAGGATGATGGTTGCGGCAAAAAGATGCTCGGTCCAGATGGATTTGTAGTTTTTGCTCGTCAAGAGGCACTTCATGATGTTGATGCAAGCCGCATTGTGCGTGTCTGCCAGCTGGTTATATCGCTTCCTCTGGCTGAGGTCGGGGTGGGTTTGCCCCAAGTGCCGCGCCGAGAGCGCAAATATCGATCTCACCAGCACCTGACAGTCCCTTGACCGATGAGGTACGATGTTTTGGAAGGTATCTGTGGGGCCGCATTAGCATCTCTTTGTGCCCGGGGTACGGAGTGTGGGAGCTGCAGTCGGCTCGCTCCACGGCCATACGTACGGTACGGGTCACACAGGTCAAGCTGATAGATCGGTGTCAGCCATGCATATCCGGCCTCAACGGTTCGCCAACGACGGGTTCGGGTGGCAGCTTACCCACATAGCCAGCTTATCCATGAAATGGCGAAAGAGAACGGCCTCTTCGGGGTCGGTGAGGGGCCAGATCGGGGGAGGCGGATCGACGACGGACGAGATGGACATCAATCGTGAACGGTCAGGGGGCGAGGGCGGTCGGTAGGGTGGCATGGGCGAAGTATTGCTGTGGCACTCCACGTCAACGACGGGAGGGGAGTCCCACGCCGCCTCGAACTCGTCGGGTCCGCTATCCGGGCTCGACACATCGTTTATTATGGTCTGCGACTCGTCGATGAAGACCACTTCACACCAGAGTCAGACGGGGTCTTCTTGGCGGGTTACACATCGAGGGATTTGAGTAGAAGAAACAACGGGGACGAACATCTTCGCGGAGTCTTAATCCACCTTTGTTTCTTGTTGAACTTAAACTTGTCTATGTAAATACCGGGCGAGTGAGTAAAACCGGCGCCGAGAAAGGAGTGGTCCGGGGCTTCACTGACACTTGTTGGTCTCGCGGATCTTGAGGCCTGGCGGCAGGCATGGCTCGTCCGCGGTCCGGCATCTGCCACAGATTGGTGTTACTCTATCGCCTGTGGCACATCGGTAAGTCAATAGTCAACAGATGGTTCCCCCCCACGGATTGACACCCAAGCCAACGGTGTGGGCCGGGGTCCGGGAGAACAGGCGAACTAGTAGGGACGGAGGAAGTGGAGACAGAACGGACATCTCAGATGATGTTGCCGGCACCGGGCGCTAAAGGAGTCCACCATTCAAGTTAGCGAAAAAAAGACGACTAAACAAAACCCGCGTGTTTTCTTTATTGAGATACATTGCCTCTCTCGGCTTCCTCAGCAACTCGACAATTCCACAACCGAGACCTGACTCACCATCCAAATCTTGCAAGGCTGGGAGTTGGGGAGCCCCGCCCGGATGAGGGCGTGGTCGTGGCCGTGGTTGGCGTCGTGTCGGAAAGCGACATTGGCAAAGGCCGGGGGTTCGTTGAAGCCCGGACGCTCACATACGAAACTCAGATGGTGAAGCACGCATAAGGTGAAGGAGAAGCGGAGGCGGTCGCAGGTGATCAAAGGCCAACCAGACCTTTCTGGATCCAAGGTGAGCTGGCTCATCCACACTCAATCCTCGTGGCTGATCGGGGAAATTGCCTTCCCCCCCGAATAAGAACCCTGGTAGTCGCCCCGCTCTTGTGCGGGCGGCGGGCTGAGAAAGATAATCCTCCTTCGAGTCCGGCCCGAAGACGGGCCCACCAGCAAACTCGCCGTGCGCCCTCGGTACCCCACGAAAACGATGGGGAAGCAGTCTGGGGAACTGCCCAGGAGGGTCACACCAAAAAACCTAAAGTTTTTTTTTTTTTTTTTTTTTTGCCGTTTTTTTTTTTGGGGGAATATCATGCGGGTCTTTGCAGGTTCTTGCTTTTGGGGTGCTGATTGATGTCTTGGTGCGGGGAAGGAAGGGATGCCGAAGGCCACCGGTCACATTTTGTCACGCTGGGACTGGCATTTCCATTCGTTTCCTGGTGTGGTGCAACACAAGACGATGCACCTTCCCTTCTTGTCGAAGCTTCTTCACCGAGCAACGAACCACCGAAGGTCCTGAGTACACAGTAAACCATGCACGTCTTGCCAGCAGCCCGCCTCTGCCAAAACCACAGGCAATGAATGGGTGGGGAACCCTTTTCAGGAACCCGATGAACTTCAACAGGGATTCCCACCTCGCAACGGCTCGAACTGGTGCAACACCCCACAATGTAAAAAACTCCACAGACCCCAACCCCGTCGCCGAAGTGAGAGCCTATTGGGCCCGTTGAAAGAAATTCTCGACATCTTCCAGGTTTCTCCATTCGTTCTGCTTGGCGACATGGGCCTTGAACGGAGCTCAGGGAGTTGATCTTTTCTTTCCCCATAACGCCAACGACAGCCCCTTCTCCGCGAACTGTGTCTTACCCATTTCGACTGCACACTGGAACCGGAAGTGACCTGCCCTCAAGATGGCTTCAGAACACCCACCTGAGGGCGTTGTGCCCTCCGAGAAGGCCACGATGGATGACGAGAAGGACCACCACGCTCAGGATCAGGTCTCACGACTCCAGGCCACGGACAGGGTCATCCAGGGCGCCAAATTGGCTACAGAGAAGGAGCAGAAAATGACCCTCATGCAGGGCATCCGCCTGTACCCCAAAGCTATCGCATGGAGCATGCTCATCTCAACCTGTATCGTGATGGAGGGGTACGACGTTTGCTTGATCAACAACTTCTGTAGGTGTTCATGGCTTCCTGGACCCTGTGGGGTCCCGAGATGGCAGCCTCGGCTAACTGGACGGTTCAAAAGATGCATTTCCGCAATTCAATAGAAAATACGGAGAACAGCTATCCGACGGGAAGTGGGAAGTGACAGCTCCATGGCAGGCCGGTCTTAGCAATGTGAGTGCTCTCAAAACATCAGACCAGCACAACCGGCGGCCCGCTTCGACGTCCCGGCCGGCCCGTTCCCGATCTTGAGATGAGACGAACAGGCGGCAAGAAGTGCTAACCTGGTGGATCTAGGGCGCCAACGTCGGTGAACTGATTGGCCTCCTCATCAACGGCTGGGTTTCGGAACGGTTCGGTTACCGCTGGACAGTAATTGTCTGTCTGATGTTGATAAATGCCTGGACGGCTTTATTTTTCACGGCCCAGAATGTGCAGACGCTGCTGGCGGCCGAAATTCTATGCGGCATCGTACGGCCCCCGAACCCTAACATCTAGCGAGGATGCGTTACTGACGTGCCAGCTTCCGGACAGCCATGGGGCGTCTTTCAAACCCTCACCATCACCTACGCCTCCGAGGTCTGTCCTGTCGCAATGAGAGCCTATCTCTCGACTTACGTCAACTTCTGCTGGGGCCTCGGCCAGTTTATCGGAATCGGCGTCATCATGTCCATGCTTGGGCGGGATAACGAATGGGGCTACCGAATCCCGTATGCCCTGCAGTGGATGTGGCCTCTCCCGCTCGCTGTCGGCATCTTCTTCGCTCCCGAGTCCCCCTGGTGGTTGGTCCGCAAGGGGAAGCTTGACAAGGCAAAGCGCTCGCTGTTGCGTCTCACCAGCCTGAATCGAGAGACGAATTTCGATGCGGATGAGACGGTCGACATGATGGTGCACACCACGGCGCTGGAGGAGAAGACAACGAGCGGAGCGAGCTACTTGGACTGCTTCAAGGGCTACGACTTGAGAAGAACGGAGGTAAGGTGAACTGAATCTGAGCGGATGGGGCCCTCTAATGAGTGACGACGTGCAGATTGTCGGCATGTGTTGGGCGATTCAAAATCTGTCAGGGAATTCCTTCTCCAACTACTCGACATACTTCCTCACCCAAGCCGGTCTTGACCCGGATAGCGCGTACGGATTTGCGCTTGGCCAATACGGAATCAACATGGTAGTGAGTCAGATACTGGCGTCTTGCAAAAAGAACGACAGTAAACGTTGACACTGCTGGACAGGGTGTTGTAGGGGCGTGGTTTTTGATGAGCCGCGGAATTGGCCGCCGGTCTCTCTATCTCTACGGCCTGTGCGGTCTTTGCGTCATGCTTTTGATTCTCGGCTTCCTGGGCCTCGTCCCCGACGCCCACCGGCGAGAGGCCTCCATTGCGACGGGAAGCATCATGCTTGGTTGGGCCCTGACGTATCAACTAACAGTGGGCACTGTCTGCTACTCGCTGGTCAGCGAGATCTCGACACGGCGGCTGCAGATCAAGACGGTTGCCCTCGGGCGTGTGTTCTAGTGAGTCTTATCCCATGGATAATGAGGGCATTTTCGGCCGCTAACTTTCCTAAAGTATCATCGTGGGTATCATTTGCAGTACGATAACGCCATACATGCTGAATCCCGGAGCCTGGGATTGGAGAAACTTTGCAGGCTTTTTCTGGGCAGGCATTTGCTTTTTGTGCATTATTTACACTTATTTTCGGGTGCCTGAGCCGTCGGGGCGCTCCTTTGCCGAGATGGATATGCTTTTCAAAAACAAGGTCAGCGCGCGCAAGTTTGCGACGACCAAGGTCAATGTGTTCGAGGAGGATATCGACGGGGAGTTCATGGCCAAATACCGCAAGCACACCGGGGCTAAGGTTGTGGAGAGCACCAGCAGCCCGTAGGGCCTTACATATATTTTAGGATAGTGTAGTAGTTAATAATTAAGCGCATTTACACTTTCAACTCCACGTAGCTGGTTGATGGAATTGGTCAAGCCCGAGCCCAAGAGCACGCCTTATGGCTCCTCCACCCGTTCTCAGCACGCTGAATCCACTCGGGCGTGGAGGTGGGGAGAAATAGACTAACTCCCCCGTTTGTAGTATGCAGCTGCTAGTTAGAGTATAAAATGTATACATCACCCACTTCAAATCCATCGGGTAATGCCCTCGTGAACCTGCCTCCCGCCCAGTTCAGCCCCCCCAACATGCTTTCACACACAGTACACTCGAGCGGTGACGCCTAGTCAAACACTAAACGATACTATCCACGATCCAGACCGTTCTCTACTTACCGGCCCCTCCTCCCGACGGAGATATCGGCCGGCCACAGCCGCTTCCTCTCCCACGCCATTCCGAGAATAGTCGGTCTGCATCGGAGAAAGTTGCCCGTTTTAAAAGTGGAACTCTGTTCCATGGATCAGTCTTCGCGTCAAATAACCATATCTGATCCTAAAAGCGAAATTTTCGCCGATTCTGACCAAAATCGACAACGGCACACCTGCATGAGTTCATCGGGACCCTGGAAGACGTTCACGTGCCATTCAAGGGACAACCAGGTCGGTGGGCACTTGCAGGAGTAGTGGCACCCACCCTATGTGCGGTTCCAAGCGGAAACGAAAGAGGGAAGAGAGGGAGAACACAGATCCGTGGAACCGAGGAGCAGACTTCTCCTCTTGTATCCATTCTGATGCAGCCGGCGCGGTCGAGATTCGTCAGGACGAGTCGGTGGATGGGGTGGATGACGTGGATTTGCACAGATTACTTGCCTAAGGTACCCTTGGTACCCTCCGTGCCTTCCCTTTCCTTCAATTCGAGCCCCCATATCGGCGTAATCGCGGCGTGGCACTGCGAGTTTCCTGCTGTCTTCCCAGTATCTCCTCCACTCTTGGTCTGACCCAGCCAGATAGCCCCGATTATTCATTACCCAGTGGTGACCAATTCCAATTCCGAAGATGCAGCAACACGATAATAAAGCGGTCTGTACCCAGGGCAAGGAACCACCCTCGACCCTGCCCTGGCTGAGCCGACCAACTCAACTCGGCTTGTACCCGTGATTCCCTCCTTCGAGTCCTCCCCGAGTCATTCCTCCCTTCGTACCTTTCCGCTTGTTTTCAACGATAAATATCACATCTCGAGTCAAGGTATCGCAGCCCTAGTCCTGCACCCAAACACGAATCTTTCGTTTATTCAGAAGTGGCACGAATCCCAAGTTTGATTCTCAACTCGTTGTTTCTGGGACTACGATCGGATCACGACGTGTTGATATACCCTTGCCTACTCATTCCCGATATTCACTCTCTCGTTTCTCCCAAACATTCCATTATTCCAATGGCAGCCATGGTAGATGTCCGCCCGTTCCATCGGGATGGGGCTGCCCTCGAAGCCATCTCAGACGCGGTCGACACAGTCAACATCCTCAAACACATGCCCACCACGGCCGAACCCGCGTTCGACGCAGCCTCCACCTTCGACACCGACAAAGACAAGTCCACCTTCCGCCAATACGCCGACGCCTGCGACCGCGTCAAGCACTTCTACGCCGAACAACACGCCAAGCAGACCGTCGCGCACAACCTGGCCGCGCGCGCGCACTTCCACTCCCCTTCCCGCAAGCGGCCCGAGCTGGGCATCTGGGAGGCCATGGAGAAGCTCAACACGCTCGTCGACGACAGCGACCCGGACACGTCGCTCAGCCAGATCCAGCACCTGCTGCAGAGCGCCGAGGCGATCCGCCGCGACGGCAAGCCCCGCTGGATGCAGCTGACGGGGCTGATTCATGACTTGGGCAAGCTGATGCTGTTTTTTGAGGGTTGTTGTGACGGGCAGTGGGATGTGGTCGGGGATACCTTCCCCGTGGGGTGTCGCTTTGATGAGCGCTGTATCTACCCGGAGTTGTTTGCCGCCAACCCGGATGCTGGCCATGAGGTCTACTCGACTCGTTATGGGATTTACCAGCCTGGGTGTGGTGTCAATGAGTTGATGATGAGCTGGGGCCATGACGAGTACCTGTACCTGGTGCTGCGGGACCAGAGCACCCTGCCGCGCGAGGCCCTCGCCATGGTGCGCTTTCATTCGTTTTACCCCTGGCACAAGGAGGGCGCCTACACCGAGTTCATGGCCGACGGCGATGAGGCGCTGCTGAGTGCCGTGCGTGCTTTCAACCCTTATGATTTGTATAGCAAGTCGGACGATGTGCCCAAGGTGGACGAGCTGAAGGTAAGATCGTACTTGGGGAGCCGAAGGACAGGGACTGCTATGGCTGACACGTGGTTCTAGCCGTATTATTTGGAACTGATTGATGAGTTCTTTCCTCAAAAGGTCATCAAATGGTAAACAGTGCGGCCGAATGACAGGGATGCGGACGGTGCAGACAAGTATCACGGCACGGGGGGCAGGAGCACACACTCGATGGGCACCAAAACAAAGCACATGATGTTTCCTACACTTCTTCATCCGTGATCTATCCCACCAGCCCCCATCTATCGACAAAGCAAAACCACGAACCCTCCCGGCGCCCCCTTGGTAGCGTCCACCTCTCCCCAGCCGGGCCAGCCCCGAGACTTAGAAGTTTCAGCCGCCTATGTAACTGTCAGCGAATGTCCCGATGGGATATCGCGATCCATGGGGCGCTTACCATTTAATTAGACAACGCCAGCAGCGACCGTTAATGGTAACGCTGTAAACGTTGACAAGCGGGGGCCGGAGAGTAGCAGATCACGGGGGCTCCGTTTGGGTTTAATGTGCGGCCACACCGTTGGCGCCGAGGTGGTCCTGACAGATGGCCGCACTCCAGGTAGAAGGCGTAACGACCGCAGGAGCAGCCGCCCCTCAGTACCCAGTGTTCGCGGTAGTGGTTAATTTGGCTGTGGAAAAAAAATGCGAGACATGGGTGATGTGATGTATGTAACACCGTGTGCTGAGGACTTGGCCGGAGAGTTGAGTGAGGTATGCCGGGTATTCGAGACAGACTGGAATGTTTGCTGAGGTTGCTTGGATTGGTTGCTTGTTTGAACTGGTTGCTTGAACTGGTATGGTTCTTGTGCTGGTACGAGGGGGAGGGCGACCTTTTGAACTTCTGAGAGGACGCTCATACCAAGAGACAGCAGTGCACTTGTGCATCCCTCAAACCTCTTCTCTTTTTTTTTTCCTTTTTTTTTTTTTGGTTTAGCTTTGCAATGCTTCTCCTGCCCCATGGGCGCCCAGGGTCAGTTGCAGGTTAGACCCCTAGCGCGGACGCCTAGTTTCGATATTACGGAAAATGAAACGATGAAAAAGTGATAACTAGATGTGGGAAAAAGTGATAGCTGTCACCACTGGAGACGCAACTGTCCACCAGCGATTCACCGATCCAAGCTGAAGCAGAACTGAGTTGGGAAGACGCAACGCCCTAAAAAAACGTTTTATTTTATAATTATTTGAACCGCTGAAATCCCCCTAGACAGCTGGAAGCTTTCTGTTTTCTTACGGTGCGTTGACAAGGCAACAAACGAGCTGGCTCGTTCGGTCTGTAAACTTTTTCCCTCGGGAGGAGCGCTCGCTAAGGCTGGCGCGGGGGTTGAATGGACGCCTCAGGAGCAGAGGTGTACGTGGCTGAGAGCTCATTACCCCCAAGGGTGTCAGGTTGGTTCAGGCGAGGATTGCGTTGTGGACAACAAAGCACGCGAGTGGCAACAAATGTATCCCCCCTCCAAACCGAAACCAGCCGTGCTTTTCTTTTGTGCTGAACTGCTCAACAATGTGCCGGAAACAGACATACCCCACACAAAACCTTTGTCCTCTCCGTCCCTCCCATTATTCCATCGGCGACTCCGATGCGAAATGGGGACCAGGAGGAAGAAACAGCGAGGAGTGGCGTGTTTGTCCGCCCGGTGGTGGACAAAGAAGCCTGGGGATGCCGTTTCGCTGGCGCAAACCCCCCCGGATATATCAACCACTCATCACCTTGCATAATCCATATCGTGAAACACAACTTGAAGTGTATCAAATAATTCGCCCAAGACGCTCGTCAAGATGAAACTGGCACCGGATCACCCCCTATAACCTCGACCTTGTCGGTAGTAGCTATGCCCGGGCGGTTCGACCCGACCCTAACAGCGAGGGAGAGATTGCACCGGATGCGTACGTCTGATTTGACTGGGTCTCGTACCGATGGCTGGATGTCTGGCATCACAGAGAAGACGACATGGACTGATGGGATGCCGAGGAGGAAGTGCAGCTGGAATGGCTCAGTCGCACCACGCGGCTGCTGCGTTCGCTCCTCGACACCGGCGCTCTGCCGCCCGACGTGCTGGCGCTCGACCTGAGCCCATCGGGAGAGGTCTTATGGACGTCGACTGAGGACGAATACAACGGTGCGGTGTGTACCTACTACCCCTCGGTGGAGGAATACGGGCTCCCGTCTCCGGCGGGGAACAAGCTTTCTGTGTTGCTCCGCTCTGACCTGACCGAGCTTGACCGTGTCGACGGCACGATTACTAAGGTTTCGTATCGCTGTCCGGCTTCCGGGCAAGAGAAGGTTGGCGCTTTCACGGCCATAGCCAGCTGCCCCCATTACGGTGGTGTCTGGGACGAGATTCAGATCATGCGCGGCTGCCAGCTCACCCACTCATCCTGCCCATCGACTCGCTCGTTGTCGAGGAGCTCACGGGGCTTGGGTTGTCGGATTCACCACTCCCTTCGTCTCGGCCCGCTCGCTGGAGAAACCGCTACCAGGGCCATTCAAGCTGCGCTGGCTTCGGGAGTTGATGGGCCTCGTCGATGAGCTCAACCTCGAGTACGGCATCGTGCACCAGCATATTGCCCCCCGGAACCTTTTCATCAACCCGGACACCGACTCCATCCTGCTCTTCGACTTCAGCGCGGCGGCTCAGATGGGGAAAACGTGGCGCCGTAGCCGCGCCAAGTGGAGGAGTTACACCAACTTCGAGGAGCGCGAACGGAACGACATCACCGGCGTGGCCTACTTCCTCTACATGGTCATCACCCGCGACCCGGCCTACCGCTTCATCCGCTTCGACGCCATGGCCGACGACGAGTTCGACGACCTCGCCAAATGGACCCAGCACCCCCAATTCACCCCGCTCGACCACCCCCTCGCCATCTTCCACGCCGAGCTCACAGCCTGGATACGCAAGCGACGCGCCCAAGCAGCAGCCGAACCTGAACCGGACCAGCCCAAGTTACCCAACCAGTCCACTCCCCATAATCACAACCGCACCCACAGCCACAGCCACAACCATAACAAAACACCTGCTGCCACCATAACAAAACACCTGCTGCCGCCCCCCAACAAATCACTGTCCCCCCTCCCCCCCGCCCTCCCACCGACGAACACACCGTCGCCGCCACCCTCGCCGAGCCGTTAGCGCGGCAGTGGGTTAATATCGGTGTTGAGGTGCCTGTGAGTGCGCGGCTCGAGGCGGGCTGGCCGGTGCTGAAGTGGCAGCGGCCGTTGAGGGGGGAGGTGAAGGCGGAGGGGGAGGGGGAGGGGGGAAGGCGGTTGTTGGCGACGGGGCGGTGGGCGGATGAGGAGGTTGGGGTTGGGGTTGGGGTTGGGGTTGTTGATACGGAGGGGTTGGATCGGGGGCGTGGGTTTCCGCAGCCGTTGGGGGGGAAGCCGAAGGGGGGGAAGCCGAAAGGGGGGGGGTCACGGGGCGTGGTCAGGGGAGTCACGAGACAGGGTCAGGTTCTGGCTAATGACTGAGTTGTGCGATGAGGAGAGAGGATGCTCTCGCAAGGGGACGCTAACGGAGAGGAGATACTGCTAGTGCGGGCCCAGGTCGCGTAGGCACGTGCTGCCCACGTGACCCAAGCAGGTCAGGCTTGGTGCCGTGACAGGGGGTTGGTGGTTCTGCTGCTGCTGCTGGCGGGGAGGTGGGGGGGAAGAAGAGGAAGAGAGCTGGAGGAGGGAAAAAGAGGAAGAGGGTGTCGGGAGCGAAGAAGAGGAAGCGGCCGTAGTGTCACCTACCTCGAGTGTTACTGGGGTTTGTAATCGGGAAACGCCTCGACTGCCTGCCGAGTCCACATTTCGGTTTATAACGAAGAATGGATCCATGACCGAGTCAGTTTAGATGGACTTGACTTATCTTCAGCATGCTGGTATCAAAAATGATGAATAGGTTCGACCGTATCTATGAAGGCCGTAAAGTGTAATCTCGTGTATGAAGACTGCATTTCGAATTTGCACGATTGACTTCGTGTAATCACAATCACTTTGAAATTCTTTGCTTGGGTGAGACAGCCGATTCGTGGGGCAAGCTTGCAGGCTGTGCATCGAAGGGTACAATGTGGGAAGCAGGCAGCGGCAGGTCGTCAAAGGCAGGCACAGCAGCTGAATGACAGGGTAGCATCTCCACGGAATATGCTTGGCAACCCCCGCCGCCAGGGTTGCATTCCCCGCAACCGATGACCTCATTGCCCTTTCAATGAACCGATCTCGACTTTTCCCACTCACAGCAGCGTCGTACCCAGCTGAGATTCTTGCCACACCGGAGCCTCGAGTCAATCGAGGAACCGAGTGCTACGATTGGGTGCATATCTTCAATTCCGACTTTTTTTACAAAAAACCCCCCGAGCCCCCTGGTCCCCTCATGACATTGTCGAGTGGAATCAATCGTGCCAATAGGACGACAATCCCTGGCGCGGTTGTGGCGAGCAGCTAACCTTCTTAAGCTCGTGAAGTCTTGTTGATCCTGTCTCGGATGCGCGAGCCAAGGGTGTGTGACCGGCGTTGTATGTAACTTGTGAGTCCGTGTGTTTGATCCGAGTTTGTTACCTACCCTACCCTCCATCCTCCAGCCTACCCAATTTCAATACCTTCGGAAGTGCTCCCGTCCATTGCATTCAATTGCTCCGACGGCCACGACACTCCGGACACGAACGATACTGTGTTCGGTAATTGCTACGTAAAATATATAGGGGATGACCCTGACAACCGCCGCCCCTTTCCCGCTCTTCGCCTGCTCGCCAATATCCGGATCGTCTTCTCCTACGTCGCACAGTATTATCTCAGCATTTATATCGGCTACCGCCCTGCCGTGTTTGGGATTTCTCACCCTCCCTTTCTCCTCTATCCGATCATCACCCACTATCCGTCGCGTCCCGATCCCTCGCCACGTCGTGACCTCTTACTCCTCGCCACACCTCCCCTTTCACCGTGCCTACACCAACCACGCCTGCCACGCGAGCCGGCTCTTTTCCACCATGCCTCGGAAGTCCAAGCCGCTGTCACCTTCACCAGATTCCGGTGGGGTAGAGTTGGCATCCATGCATGTCGACACCGCTCTCCGTCCCCAGGTCCAACTCCGCAGGTCGGGCCGGGGCCTGAAGACCCTCGAGCCCGATGATATCATGAAGGCGACAGCCGGAAACATGTTGGGGCTCAGACCTCCGGAAGGCGAAGATGCAAACAGTGAGGAGATGGAAGAGCATAAGGACACGCTCAAAGAGGAAATGCGCCTTGCCATCGAGGGGCTCGCCAGGATGGAGCGTCGGCTGAGGAGTGCGACAAAGAGGCAAAAGCTGCAGCTTAAAGAGGAGGCCGAGTTGTCGAAGCAACGGAAGGCCGCCATCCAGGAGGCAGCCCAATCCGAATCTCTCGAACAAGCGTCCCTGAGGATGGTAGAGCCAACAGCAGAGCCGACAGCAGAACCGACAAATGGAACACAACTACCGACCCCGGATGAGGGGGAGAAAGATAACTTCGCCAGGAATATCACCGGAGGACAAGGCCCGGACCTCGAGACTTCCAGGATAGATGCTCCAGAGGAGGCACCCGACATTCCCGAACGTGGTGCCGCCAGAGCGCCGCCAGTCAACAGTGACTATCTGCCATTACCATGGAAAGGCCGGTTAGGCTACGCATGTCTCAACACGTATCTGCGCTCGGCCAAGACGCCCGTCTTTTGCTCCCGGACCTGTCGCATGTCCTCCATCGTCGACCATCGGTACCCGCTCACCGACCCGTCCCAGCCCGAACACTCGGTCAAAAACCGCCCAGACCGGTCCAAGGAGCCTTCCGTTGAACGAGGACAGCGGTTCCTGCAGAACCTCGGCCTCACCAATGCCCGGGATATCATCCGCATGCTGCGCTGGAACGACAAATATGGCATCAAGTTCATGCGCCTCAGCTCCGAGATGTTCCCCTTTGCCAGCCACCAAGAACACGGCTACAAGCTGGCCCCCTTCGCTTCCGAGGTGCTGGCCGAGGTCGGCAAGGTCGCCGCCGAGCTGGGCCACCGCCTCACCACCCACCCGGGCCAGTACACCCAACTGGGCTCGCCCCGTAAAGAAGTCGTCGACGCCGCCATCCGCGACCTAGAATACCACGACGAGATGCTGTCCCTCCTCAACCTCCCCGCCCAACAAAACCGCGACGCCGTCATGATCCTGCACATGGGCGGTGTCTACGGCGACAAAGCCGCGACCCTCGAGCGCTTCCGCGCCAACTACGCACGGCTCTCCCCCTCCATCCAAGCCCGCCTCGTCCTCGAAAACGACGACGTCGGCTGGAGCGTGCACGACCTCCTCCCCGTCTGCGAATCCCTCAACATCCCCCTCGTCCTCGACTACCACCACCACAACATCATCTTCGACCCCGCCCACTGCCGCGAAGGCACCCTCGACATCAGCTCCCCTGCCCTTCAGTCCCGCATCACCGCCACCTGGACCCGCAAGAATATCCGCCAGAAAATGCACTACAGCGAGCCCTGCCCGGGCGCCGTCACGCCCCGCGACCGCCGCAAGCACTCCCCGCGCGTCATGACCCTGCCCCCCTGCCCCCCCGACATGGACCTCATGATCGAGGCCAAGGACAAGGAGCAGGCCGTCTTCGAGCTGATGCGCACCTTCAAGCTGCCGGGGTTCGACCGCGTGCGGGACATGGTCCCCCACGTCCGCCCGGACGAGTCCCGCGCCGCGCCGAAGCAGACGCCCCTGGGGAAGAAGCGGCAGAAGCCGGCGAGGAATCTGAAGAGGAAGCGCGCGCCCGATGAGGAGCCCGTCGAGTTGAATGATGTGGGCGCCGGCGCGGACGATCAGGAGCTTATGGAGGAGAGGGGCAGGGTCGTCAGTGAGGAGGATTATGCGATGGGCGGGCCCGAGGGGAGGGTCTATTGGCCGCCGGGGAGGGAGGATTGGTTGAAGCCTGTGCGGAGGGGGGTGCGAAGGCGTTGACGGCGGAGGATGTTGAGGAAGGGGAGAGTTGAAGGGTGTGTTGGGGTGGGTTGTGGTATGTTGGGTTGGAGGGGCTTGTTTGGTCTATTGTTCTTGATTTTGTTTTGTTTGTGGTTCGGGGGATCTTGATTATTGCATACAACCTACGGCAATGGGCGATACACGATGTGATACCAACGGGGCAATGGGCATATTAGCCACGGCTGGTTAGCGTTTACTGGGTTTCTTGAGTACAAACTGAGATTTAGGCAAGGCAAAGCAAAGCAAGTTACGGGAAAAGTGTCTTGATTTCAATGTGTAATTGGATAACTATACGAACTAAACTCGGACGGCCGACACGTATGTACATACAACCACAATATTTTTCCTTTTTCGAGGAGTGTACCCCTATACGATCTCCCGCTTTGAATATCCGTTTGCTAGAAATTGAAGGAGCGCGATGATGATGGACATCTCGATCCGCGTAATGGAGGCAAACGCATCGAGCGGAGGCCTGTATACTCGCGCGTCGGAGATTCATTATTATCTCGCCACCGATCGACCGTTACACAGGCCTCGGTTGGAGCACCCTGTCCGGGCCGGCGCCGATCCTCCGACTTGGGTACCAGCTTGCCGGTACCGCGCTACATGTGATCGGCGGCCGTTGGAGCAGTGTATCCCGATATGTACATATGGACGTACGATATCGAATGTTGTGCGCGTCGACTGAAACACAGCCCCAAATTGCAGTACCTGGCCTGGCGATCTCAACCGTTTGAGTATCACACGGTTGATTGTTTCTACATGTCTCGGATCATGATGTACAATGGGATATCCTTCCCTTCCCAGCGCCAGGCCGGCCCTGGACACGCCACCGCCAGTCAGTCTAGGATAGACCTCCCATCCTGAAACCGCCCCCTGTTTTTTCTCTTTTACCCACCCTCCCCAAACGGGAAACAAAACGCCGCCGTCCCCATCCCCCACAAGCAGAGAAAACCTCCCAACGCCCAAAACCCCACCACCAAAGGACCGCCCGCAGGCATATCCCTCCCAACACCAAAGAACCAGAACCCCTCCACCCAGACCAGACCAGACCAACACACCAAACCCCCTATCCCTCAACCCACCCAAACCAACTCAACCCAACCCAACCCAACTCCCAACCCCTGCCCCTCCAACCCCTGCCCTTCCTTCCAACCCCCAAGAGGCCTCTCAACCCAACCCAACTCAACTCAACTCAACTCAACTCCCCACCGCCGCCGCCGCCACCGCCTCCCCGCGCAGCTCCTTGCAGCGCGGGTGCGCGCAGGTGCCGCAGAAGAGGGTGCTGTTGCCGCGGGCGACGACACGCTCGCACCCGCAGGTGGTTGATTGGGAGACGAGCGTCGTCTGGCAGGCGTAGCTGATGCGGGTGCCGCACATTTTCGGCTTTTTTTTTTTTTTTTGGCGTTTGGTTTCTTTGGTTTGGTGTTGTTATGTTTGGGGAGGTGGTGTGTGCCTTGCTTGGATGGTAGTTGTGCTGCCTGTGCTGCCTGTGCTGCTTGTGCTGCTGAGAGGTGGTGGTGTGTTGATCGAGGGGAGATCTGGTTTGGTGGCTTGCTGGCGTGCTGCCCTTTTGGGGTTGGCTGGGGACTGAAATAGGGGTCTTATCTGGGTGGTTGTTAGACCACTGCGTTGCAAATATTATGCATCCCCCTGAGGAATCTCTCTGTCGTACCTCGAGAAAGAGAGATCTCCAAAATGATAATCGCCAGAGATTGTGGCCAGAGGGAATGCGAAGCGGCAGCCCTTCTCTTTGTTTAAAAATGCAATGATGGTTCAGATTCGATCGAAATCGGTTGTGGCGTCACCACCTTCTAGCGCACTGACCGCCCAGTCTAGACCACAGATAATGATGTCGAGATGAGTGAGTGGTGATGTCTTCGTGGGTTTTTCGTGGCTGGGACTTGGATGCCGAGGCCTTAAAGACTCATGCGAGCATGGGAACTCCCTACTGCAGTTGTTCAAGCTAACGAGCGGCGTGGGGGCTGTCGAGTTTTTGGGTTGCGTTGGGTTGCGCCGTTCGTAGATGGATGCTCAGCTCGATGTTTATACATATTTACATATAGGGTCTCGCTGAGAAAAAGCCAGGGTTACGGCCCCATCCCATTCCAGCTTGAACTCTGGGATTCTAAAACTTGTGCATCCTCCCACGTCCCTGCCATGGCGCGGCCCTGGCACACCAGGTTCCGGCCTTAATGTCACCTAAAGCGGAAGACACGATGATGAAATGTCTTTCCGGAGTCTGCGCCGTCCACTTCTCCAATTGGCGCATTCGGCCGCCGAACTGCTAAAAAATGAGTTACGTCATCACGTTGGCTCGATGTTCGAGACTCTTCTGTCAAAATTTGAGGATCGATGCTGGCTGATTGGTCCACCGTCCCACACCTTTCCGAATTGTGCCGGCCTCCGGATTCGCTGGCTGCCCGGCTGGCTTTTTCTCGTTGGGTCGTTTTCCTTTGGTGCATCGGTGGTTTGCAATTTTAGAATCCGAAAATATGCAGGTTGCGCAGCTTGTCGCATGATCGTGGCGGGGTTCGAGCATCCATCAAATCGGCGAGAGGTCTGAAGCCCCCAATACCACAGAGAACTCAGGATCGCTCGATCTCCACAGCCATCCCCGATTGACGCGAGGAAGCGCACTCTTCGGTGATTGCATCTGGCTGAAACAGCTGAGCAGGGAAACAGGATCTTGCCTCAACATGCAGATGCAGCCCCGATGCATGCACCAAGCGCAACTTGACCAAATTAGAACATTCCCGACGGCGGGGGCTCTTTCTGGATGCGACCCCGAATCGGTTTCGCTCCCATAGCGGCGTCTTTCAACCGTCTTTGCTAGGAACCCTCGCCTTATTCTTGTATCCGGCTCATACCGAGGCGGCTTCTCGATGCCAAGAACGGCCTACCGCCGCGACTGTGTTTGGGGATCAGGCTGCACTGTCCCGAACAAATGGGCATGTGGTGGGATCATCCTCGTTGTGAGTTTGGCGGTTGTCAAGTGCCCTCCGACATACCTAATCTCTTCAGTTTCATTATGCCAGAATGATGCGGGTCTGACAGTTTCATGAGAACGGAGCACCAAGCGTGAATGGTGCTCCTGCCCATGTATCACGGAAAGTCTTCCTCGGCAATGAAGCTCTGAAGGGCCTTTAACCCGTGGTGGACTCGAAAACTCGCCTGGCATGACGATTTGGTCGAGTGATGCCGCAAAAGGGGGTCCTCTTCCAGCAGGCGTAAAAGGCGTGAAAGGCGTGAAAAGGCTGCGGGTGTTTCCAAGGACTCCCTACCACCGCCACCTGGGAGCCATATCCCCGTGGTCGTCATCCGGAATGGCGTTCCTAGGCCGGCCTTAATGTTGACCGAGCGGGCTTTGGCACCGGACATGCCCAATTCCAGAAGTTAATACCGCGCTGCCCCGGGCATCTCCGTCTGCAACGGGGACGTTTTCCTATCAAGTCTCTCGCTCGTAGTTGGGTGATTCATGATGGTGGGTGGTACGACGTCCGTGTCGACGGTTATCCCATCGCCAAATATTGGGACGAGACTCGGAGGGGTAAGTTGACAAGGGCGGGCTTTGGCTTATGTACCTATGGGATGGGAAGACGTCGTGTGTTTTCCAAGTAAAAGCCGGACTCAGGTGCCCCGCGGAGTTGCCCAGGATTTAGAAAAGACAACGCTTAAGAGTGAAGTTTCCTTGAACAACACGATACATGTCTCGGTGTGGTGGTGGGCATATGGAGCTTGGGTCGCTGCGAAAACCCCAGCTTGAAGATTTCGGGAAAGAGAAAGCGCACCGGTACGGTGGGACAATTGTTTCACAAGGGAAGCGGCTCTCCCTCGAAAGAAAGGAGGCTGGGTCGGCTTTGGCGCCTGATGGTTTGCAGACTTGCAGAATTGAGAGTTGTTGATACTAGAAGGGCCAGCTTGGCGAGTCCCACGTGGCTTTGCCGGGAAATTTCGTTTTTTTATTCGAAGTGGTGGAGGCAGGCGTCGAGCTGCCTAACATTTTGTGGGACTCGCGCCTGGTTGCCTGCTGGTGTCGCTGGGGTCCCGTGATTTCGCGGTGCTCTGATCTCGCTAGGACCCGCTGTTGCCTGTTCGACACGGCGCGCTCCTGAATTGGACAAAGTTGTTTGGGGGCTTATTTACGTGGTCAAGAACCGCACTTTCCTGAGCAATATTTCGTCTCAGCATTCTCAATTCCTCCCAATTGCACGCCCACTGTTGGCAATATTTTCTCTGTTCAAGGTTCGTGTGCCTTCTTATAAGTCTGGGACATTCCCGATTGTGCGAGACAGCCAATTGACCTTGAACGAACAACCCCCTTACTCCATTCCAGTACGAGACCCACCCCAAATTACCACAACCCGAGCAAGATGCCACCGAAGCGGGGAAAGAAGGCCGCCGCACCGGCCAAACCGGCCTTGGAAGGATGCACGATCGTCCTGAGCGGCACCTTCCCCGGCGCAACACACGCAACCATCAAGGCCAGAGTCGAGGCGCTCGGCGCAACCTTGGCCACCAGCGTGACTGGCGATGCCACGCACCTCGTGGCAACCGAGAGCGACTACAAAAAGCCATCCCCCAAGGTCACCAAAGCAAAGTCACTCGACATCCACATCGTCGGCTTAGACTGGCTCTCGGCCTGCGAGCAAAACGGTGCCAAGGAGTCTGAGGATAGTTACGTTCCTGGGGCCACGGCCCAGGACGATGACGAATCCACTCAGCCCGATGCATCGAAGGCGGTGCCCGCGGCGTCATCTCAGGCCAGCGGTACGGCTAAAACAAGCACGAGAACGCGGAAGCGTGCCCCTTCCCCTGTTGTGGATAATGTCTCAGATACCGAGCCTGCGCCGAAGCCCAAGCGAACGAGAGGGCGCAAGGCGGCCGCTGTCAAGACGGAGGCGGACGATGATGTCGACATGCCGGACGCGAATGATGCCGCTGACACCGAGGTAAAGGAGGAGGAGGAGGAGGAGGAGAAGAAGAAGAAGCCAGCCAAGGCCGAGAAAGCTATGGGCAAAGGCCAAATAGCCAAGAGCAAAACCCTACTGATCCCTCTCGATGAAGGCTGCCCGTTCACCACCTCCAAGGTTTACATCGACGATGCCGGAGTCATTTACGATGCGTCGTTGAACCAGACAAATGCGTCGAACAACAACAACAAGTTCTATCGCATTCAGGTAAGATCCACAAGCCACCCTGTCCGAGGACTTATCTAACGCAAGAGTAGCTTTTGGTAGACCCCAATGGGATCTGCCGGACCTGGACGCGATGGGGCCGTGTTGGAGAACGCGGTCAGACTGCGGTTGCAGCCACGGGCCTTTTGGACGAGGCGATGCGACAGTTTGAGAAGAAGTTTAAAGACAAATCGACGCTGTCTTGGGCGGATCGCAGCAAGGACCCAAAACCGGGGAAATACGCCTTCGTCGAGAGAAACTATGACGACGATTCGGACGACGAGGAGGAGGCGGACGACGCAGCGGCGGCAGGCAAGAAGTCGAGTGACCGGAAAGCGCCCGAGTCGAAACTCGAGCCTGCTGTGCAGCAGCTCATGGGCCTGATCTTCAACCAACAATATTTCAATGCCGCCATGTCCTCCCTCAACTATGATGCCAAGAAGCTACCGCTCGGGAAACTCAGCAAGGCAACCATCACACGTGGTTTCCAAACATTGAAGGACCTTTCCGCCCTCATCGACGACCCCACTAGTGCTCAAACAACTTACGGCATGGCGTACGGTTCGGCGGTCGAGCAGCTCTCAAACACCTTCTACTCGTTGATCCCCCACGCCTTTGGTCGCAACCGCCCTCCAGTTATCGGCTCCCAGGCCATGCTTAAGTCGGAAATAGAACTTCTGGAAAGCCTAAGTGACATGAAGGACGCTGCGCTCATCATGAAGGTGGACAAGGCTTCCGAGGACGAGATTCATGCTCTTGACAAGCAGTTCCAGGGCCTTAATATGAAGGAGATGACGCCCCTCGACCCTAGCGGCAACGAGTTCACTCAACTCAAGAACTACTTGGTCGAGAGCCGCGGCGCCACGCACGGACACCACTATGCTGTCGAGGCCATCTTCCGCATTGAGCGCCAAGGCGAGTTCGAGCGGTTCGACGACAGCAAGTTTGGAAAGATGAACCAGAACCGCCGCTTGCTGTGGCACGGTTCGCGCTGCACCAACTTTGGTGGTATTCTCAGCCAGGTACGTTGAGATGGCGTTTTGTTTTATCTTGGACCTTCACCACGGTTTCCCGGCCACCCCCCTCGGCTTCAAAAAGAAATGACATGGCTAACGTGGGAACCGCTTTAGGGACTTCGCATCGCGCCGCCAGAAGCACCAGTATCTGGTTACATGTTCGGCAAGGGTATCTACCTGGCCGACATGGCGTCCAAGTCGGCCAACTATTGCTGCTCGTATATTTCGGGCGGTACCGCGCTTCTCCTGCTCTGCGAAGCTGAGCTGGGTGATCCCATGCAGGAGCTGGTCAACGCCTCGTACACTGCGGGCGAGGATGCCGAGAAGAAAGGCATGGTGTCGACCTGGGGCCAGGGCTCCACCGGTCCCAGCAAGTGGAAGGATGCCAGCTGTGTCCACCCCAACTTGGCAGGTGTGAAAATGGTAAGTGCGTGTTTGAGGCTGTGTCTCTAGCCTGCAGAATTCGCCGATTTTGGTGTCACCAAGCAGCCCGCTAACGAATGTTTTACAGCCTGACACGTCGGTGTTGCCGGGAGCCACCAATGTGCCGGGTGCCGGTTTGTACTACAACGAGTACATTTGCTACGACGTCAAGCAGGTTCGCCTGCGGTATCTGCTGCGGGTTCGCATGTAACAGCGGGTAGGTTACGCGACCCGGGGGTGTATGGTGTTCGGGATGGGAGGGAGTTTGGCATTTCAGATACTCTGTCTGCTTGCTGGTTTTTGCTGTTTTGGTGTACGGTTCACGGCTTTGCTTGTAATGCTGACTACCAGGTGCCTACTTTCTGAGACTTGCTGGAGTACAAAGTAGAGAATAAAAGATCCTTTTCCCTGTGTGTTTCTTGCTGCTTACCATGGAGTCATGGAGTCATGCCGGTATGTGCTCGGCATCTGTGCGTCATGTGATTGTTCCAATCCCGTTTGTTGAAATGTCGCCGCAGGAGCGCGGTTGCGAGGCCCGCTCCACCGCCAAGAGGCTTGGAAGAGAACGGGAGACCAGTCCGCGGTGGTTGCCAGCAAGCGGGCCCACCACGTTCCCGGCTGCTAACGGCCAGGCCGCGCAGGCCACTGGGCAAGTTGATAGGCTGATAGAGTCTCAAGGGTTTCCAATTCTCTTCTTCCCAGGGTTCCTCTCCCGCCTTCCGTTCTCAACGACCTTCCTAACCTTGAACCCCACAACCCGCAAGGCCAAAGTTGAGTGGCTCCAGTGGCTAAAGGCACCTGCAACAACGCGGGCGGCGTCGGAGAGATCTGCATAACCACTCAGCAACTGACATCGGCAAATCCGAACAAACGACAGGCTGAACAAACCTCCCCTTTTTCTGGCGATAGCGAAATGTTTGCAGCAATCCGGGAACCAGACCCGCCCGCGCATTCAACCAGAAACCGACTGCGAGATCGAGCTGGAGCTCAGGTCAATTCGGGAACGAACCGTGACACAATTGTCGGCGGTGATCGCAGCCGATGACACACCGGGCCGCGCGCCAGCACAGTGCAGCAGCAGCAGCAGCAGCAGCCACCTTTGACACAGGCATTGTCCATTCCCGGGAACCGCCCATCCATGAGTACCTCACCCCGACCCCAGAAACGGACAAACACCTGCGTCACGTGTCGTGCGCGCAAGGTCCGGTGTGACGGTCGACGCGGTATTTGCACCAACTGTGACCGTCTCGGCTTCAGCTGTTCCTACGATGAGAATGTCGGCGTCGAGGTCGTCCAGGGCGAGGGGAACGGCACCGCCATCTCGGTGCCGCGCCGCCGCGTGCGCCAGGCCTGTCAGAACTGCCATGCCAGGAAGGCTAGGTGTAGCGGCTCCATGCCTAGCTGTGATCGCTGCCGGGCCCAGCGTCTCGAGTGCGTCTACAGACCTGGCAAGCGCTCCCTCCCGCTGCCGCTGCCGAACCCCGCCGCGGCCCCGTCTCCCAGCTCCGGGATGGATATCGATGCGCCCCCGGGCCAGGGCGCACCCAATGACTACGCCACCTCCAGCAGCAACGCCAGCCCTGCCACGGCCAACGTCGACCCGACTGAGCCCGACGAGGCCCTAGCCATGAAGGCTTTTGACAACTTTTTCCGCCATATCTACCACGTCGCCATGTTTTCCTTCCTGCACCGGCCCTCCCTGATGGAGCTCTACCACGCCGGGTCGCTAGACCGTGCCCTCGTCCTCTCCGTCGTCGGCATCACCTCGCTCCTGACCGATCTCGGTCCGGGGATGGTCGACTACGGCAACCGATGCGTCGAAGAGGCCGTCTCTCTGTGCCTGGCCGGCCTCGAAAAGCCCACCATCTCCCGTCTGCAGGCGCTGGTGCTGGCCATCAAGCATCGCATCCTCTCCAAGCGCTTCTCCAGCGCCTTCATGCTCCACGCCATCGCCAGCCGGTTCGCCACCGCTCTGCGTCTGTACCAAGAGAACACGGAGCTCTGCTTCCTCGCGCGGGAAGCCCGCCGTCGCCTGATGTGGGCCATCTACATGATCGACGCGTCCATCGCGACAGGCCAGGCCGACGTTGCCATCTGGTTCGATGCCGAGCGCCAGATCCAGCTACAGCTCCCGTGCAACGAGCGCAACTTTGACTTTGACCTGCCCGACCCCACAGAACCGCTCCGGCCGCCGGACCCCGACCCCGCAACCGGTATTGTGCCGCCACTGCCAGACGTGCTTGGCCTCATGGCGTTGCATATCCGCTTGTACTGGATGCGCACGCGTATCCTGCAGTGCACGTCACGAGCGGCCGCTTCCCCGTCTGCGGACGCGCTAGCCATGCTGCCGGGCCAGCTGGCCGAGCTCGCTGCGGAACTCGAGGTGTTCGAGGCGAGGCTGCCGGTCTCGTTCCGCGAGAACGAGGCCAACTTCCGGTTGCGGAGCTATTCCACCCGACTTAACATATTTATCACCACGCATATGCTGTGGAGACAGTGTCATCTTGACCTGTACCGCCTCTTTCTCCCAGGGTTGAAGGAGGCACTTGCCCCGGCTGCCTTGCAGCAGCTAGATTCTCACTTTGTGATGCAGTGCCGCCGGAGCTGCTACGAGCACGCCCGGCGGATGGCCGACATGATGTCGCAGCTGCTGAGCCTGAGCAGCACAAGCACCACGCCCCCGGTGGCTGATTTAGACCTCACCGGGTGCGCGTTCCACTGCTCCAGGGTGCTGTATCACGGATTACAAACAGATAACGGCGAATTTGGCTTGGGCTTCACGCAAGAACGCGTCCAGGAGCTGGCCGGCGTCTGCCTTCGCGCTGCGCGCCAGTCCACCCCTGGGCAAGCGTCTGCCAGCATTGTAAGTTTTCTCCACTGCGCGGTTGCGTGAGCGAGTGGGCACTCACTGACGGCGACACAGCAAGCGGATATTGAGCGGCTTATTGCCAACGGCCTGTTCCTGCCGGAAGTACCGCCCGGTTCCATGGGCCGCACCCGCAGCCTGGGGCCCGGCACGGGGACACCGTATTTGGCACCGCAAGCCCCGGCTCCAATAACAGACCAAACGGCGGCGGCCGCCAATCGCATCCATCTCATGGCTCCGACCCCGAACCCGACCCCGGGGTCCCAACCGAGCATAGGGTCCCTCCAAATGCCGCCGCCCTCGTCAATAAGCCCCATGGCGGCGCTGAGCCTGCCCATGGCTGCTCGAATCGGCGGTGCACGGCGGCACGGCCGGTGTTGCGCCATCTCAGGCCAGCGCCGTGACGAGTGGTAGCAATGCCTTTGAAGAGCTGCCCGACGGGCTCAATTTCGGTCCCGAGTTCTTTGGAATGGATTCGTGGGCATCATTCACGGGCTGGCCGGACATCGGGCAGTTTCCGACCAGTGAGATCTCGTGATGCTGCGCTGCGAGTTCCCTCCCCACATGCGCTCAGCCTTGTCTGGTGGGATTTTTCTTGTTTAAATAGTTTCGGGGCCCCGTGGCACCATCTGGGGTGTTCATGTCGCCATACCACGTGCGCGTGGGGTGCATATCGGGGCTTGCTTGGTGGCGTTTTGTGGTTGGGGGCCACGGACTGGGGTGTTGGAGAGGGCAACGATCAACGACACAAAAGGCAAAAGGTCACGAGGGGCGTCGCTTCGCTGTCAGCATTACATTAATCGTGACGGGATCTCAAATCTCGTGTACATCGTTTAGACATTATAGAACATGCTTCGGCCGCTGCTTTGTGTTGCTGGTCCTGCTCGTCTTGCTTATCCCGCGCTTGCTTCCCGCTCTTGTAACCCTTGCCCGTACCGTGTTTCTCTGCCTCACCGCAACAGCGGGGTTTCCTCGGTCGGATCCGCGTCTTCGCTCGGCCTCCGGGACCCGACCGCCACCACCGTCACGCTTCCGATCCAGATCGACCACCCGCTCCCGATAGACCCAGGCAACGCAGATCCCCGCCCCCGGACCCAGTACAACGGATGTCCCCACCATGAGCAAGGCCGTCCGCCACCCAGCCTCGACAAAAACCCAGTAAAGGATTGTCAGGCCGAAAAAGAATGTGTCGATCATCATGGCCTCGAGGATCGAGCGCGTCATCTCGCGGCGGTCGTCGGGCTGCGTCAGCGCCCAGATGAGATAGGCGTGCGCCAGCACGGAGCAGAGCACCGGCACGGCGTACACGCCCACGACCGCCGCGCGACTCTTTTCCAGGTGCGCGCTCCCCCCCCACCGTTCCCGGCCCAGCACCCGCACCACCAGCGCGCGCACTGTCCGCCGCACCAGCGACACCCACACGGGAAACAACAACCACACGCCCACGGCCACCGCCGAGTCCAGCACCAGCACCAGCACCCCGGGCACCACAAACCCCACCTCCACCGCAACCGGCACCGCCACCCCTTCCGCGCGCACCCTCACATGGCGCATCCCCCTCACCACCACCGCCCCATCCCTCCCCCCAGCAGCAGCCGCAGCAGCAGACAACAACCCCCCACCGCCTCCCGTCCCGCCCATCACCACCCTCCTCCCCAACCACAAAAACACCGGCACCCACCCCGCCTGCCACACCACCGCGCCCGCCACCGGCCCCCCCATCAACACCCACACCACCCACCCCCAAACCGGCTCCCTCAACCACCTCACCACTACCCCATTCCCATTTCCATCCCGACTCCCCACCCTCGCGGGCCCCAGCCGTGACACTGTCAACAATCCCCCCGTCACGCACCTCATTACGCTGAACGTCACAGCTTCCTGATGGGTCCAAAGCTCGACGGTCATGCAGGAGAAGAGGCGGAACAAGGGATCGCAGATGACCGTCTCGTACAGGAGGCGATGCGCCCATTCGCTCGTCCAGCCGCGCGGGTCGCACTAACCCCTACATGGCTGCTGTGAGGGTCCGAGTACAGTCGAGGATGAGGCGCTGAGCATGGAGGTCGTGGTGATGGTGTTGTTGTTGTTGTTGTTTTGGTGTTTTGCGTGAGTGAGAGTTTGGTGTTTTGATGTTGTGTTTGCTCAAAATCAGTTCGTTCTGATGTGAAAATCGGGAGGTGATGATTTTTCTGTATCGTTGAAAGCAAGATTTTGTGTATTGTTTATGGCCTGACTGGCAGTTGAGTCGTGCTCAATACGCTGTCCCGCCGGCGGGAAGCGCGACGATTGTGATTGAGGGGGTTGGTATGGTGGCGAGTGCAAATCTCGTGATTGTTTTGGTCTTGGCGGATCGGAGAGCAGATGATTTCTTTTCTCCCTCCCGGTGATATTCGTGGGGGTTGCGGGGCACAGCTGCACGAGACGGGAACGTGGGGGAGCTCGGGACCCTTCGGGAGCTATCCTCGGAGCTTTATTCAACGGATACCGGACAGGGTTGACCATGCACTCTCACTGAATGGAGACGATGCGTTTCTTTTCCATCGTAGCAAAACTAGCCCCAAGACACTCACCCTCTGGCTAAAAAACGGCCGAACGCAAAAGGCGAGACATGGAACCAAAAGAGAAAAAATGGAGAAAATCAACAAAAAGAAGAAGCAAAGAAATCCAAGCAAATTAGATCAAACAAAAGACCGAGTTAATGGACTTTACTTTTTTTGGCTAGAATGCGGACTTGGTCTCATCTGAGGAGGCTGCTGCCGGCTTCGAGAGAACCAATCCGTGGCCTTAATTTCCGTTTGAAGCCTGGGCACATTTTTCAGCGCGAATACTCCCGCTCCAGCTTGGAACTTCCAAGACACTTGCCAGCAACGGCGCCATGGCATTCGCATCTTTCCGGACCGGTTCCATGGCGGCAGTCAGCCATGCAACTGCATTTACGTCGAGAAGGAGCAGCCACGGTATGCATTTTAAATTTTTTATAACTTTGTGTGTTTACATGTTGCACCCCTCAATTAGCCATCCGCCATGTTCGACCTTAGATCCAGTTTGATACCCCTGTTGGAAAGATGCCATCGTCACGAGCTCGTTTCATTTGGATATTTTTTAAGTCGAAATACGTGTGGCTGACCACTTTCAAGGCACACGCCTTCGCTTCTTTGTCAACTTCTCAACGGAGAGGGAGACTCCAAGTACGCCTCACCACACTGAGCTTCAAGAGATCCTGGGGTACCGCTTCTCCAACCCTCTGCTCCTGGACGAGGCCACTTTAACACGCGGAGGGGGGCCGTCAGTCACGCCCCAGAACGCACATGGGAACAAACCACTTGCCTTGGTCGGGGACGCTCTCATCCGCTTAGATGTTGGAGTCCGATCGTATGCGGAGGGCACTGGGACGGGCAAGCACATTACTACCGCTTCCCTTTCCAACAGAGCGTGCACTAAGTGAAGCAGATGAGAGCAGCTTTCTGCTCGCCGACATTGGATCGAACAAGTCACTCGAGGCCATCGCGAAGCAACTGGATCTCGACAGGTTCATCATAAAAAATAAATCTCAGAAAGGAGCAGAAGCTTCTCGCGTCACTCTCGCATCGACGGTGGAAGCGCTGATAGGAGCTGTCTGGGTTGACTCGAGACAAGACTTCAACCAAGTGCAGTCGGTAATCCGCAACTTGGGCATTGAGTGCTCCAAGAAACAGTCGGCAGTGGTCCCCTCGATTTCCGTCGGAGGAGGAGGGGGGCCAATCTGGACGAAACTAGGATAGGAGTTTGGAGGATAGCCGTCGTCGATGGGATACGACATGCAGTGACTCCGAGTGAGGTGTGGGCTTGAGAGGCGTTATTGGGTTGGGGAGAGCTTCAAATAACCCCGGCGGGTTTCCCGGACTTTTTGAGGTGCCCGGACTGGGGCAAGGTTCCGAGGTTCCGAGGCAACAGAACCGAAGCTTGGATCAACAAATGGCGGGCGCTCAACGCTGAGTGCTTCGTAAGAGAGGTCAGGAAGCACTCACCGGTCCCCGCAAAAAGGGGCGCGCATTAAATTTTGATTGGGTTTGGGTATCGATTTCAGACTGCCATTTACAGGGGGGCAGCATCCAAGAACGCCCGCGGAACGCAAGCGAAAATCCCCCGATCATGGTGTCTCATGCATGCAGGTCAGGAGCGAGGGGGGCGCCACTCATCTTTTTTTGGTTTTTGTTTCTTTTGAATGCGAACCCCCCCTTGAGTTTCAGACCAATATCGCCCGATGAGTGTTCATGTGCATGGACGACTGCGCACTCAACTAGGTTGACACAAGATGCCGGGCGTGCCTTCCATCGCCATGAACCGATCGAAATTTTAAACCACCAGATGCAACCATCGACAATCTTTTTTTTTTTCTTGTCGCCCGCGCGCACGCAGATACCTGGCTGAGAGGCCGATTTCCGCCAAGGTATCACTCAAGGGGGGTTGGTTCTCTCCAGGCTCGGGTTGCTGGAGAGGTCTGGTTTTTGAAATGGGACGCGACGATTCCCGCGCTAACGGAGTGGCTGCGGCCATCATCCTGTCGCCCATCATCGCGGCCATCACAGTCGCTCTGCGGATGTACACACGACGGGTTATAGTAGGAGTGCGCTTTTTCGAGGATTATTGCATTGTTTGCGCCATGGCATGCTCCATCGCCATGTCCGGTTTCATGGGTGCCTGTAAGCAAGCAAGCTTTCCTTTTCGTCTCGGCCCTCTGGGCTTTCTGGGCCCTCTCGGATGTGGAGGCCGGATCATCCCCCGTCCTCGACTCCTTGGTCTTCGCTTTCGCCTTCGGCTCTATTCTGACCATCAAAGCTGTTATCTATGGATTCGGGAGACACCTTGACGATGTTAGGGATTGGGAGGTCGTCGAGCAGGCCAAGGTCGGCATCGGCGGCATCATCTTCTACATCCTCACCCACATGGCCCTCAAGCTTTCTATCCTGCTCCAGTATGTCCGGATCAGCGTCATGCGGTTCGAAAGGACGATCTGTTACGTCCTTATCGCCATCCTCGTGATCCAGTCACTCACCATGGTCGGCATTCACCTCTCCCTTTGCAGGCCTTTTCACGCCTTGTGGGATTCTAACGTCGAGGGCGCCGTTTGCTTGAATCGAACCACGGTGTATTATGCTCAGCTTGGCATGACCATCGCCATGGACTTCCTCGTCCTAATCGCTCCGTTGTTCATTCTTCGACACCTGACCCTTCCCTGGGCACAAAAGTTCCTAATCCTCCTCGTCCTCTCCTTCGGCGGAATGTGCGTCACCACCCCCAACCGGTTGTTTACTAACCCCAATACATCACCTTTCTAACGCTACAGACAGGGCTTGTATCTTCTCTATCCTCCGTCTCCTTACAGTCGTCGAGTCCAGCCAAACCAAGGACGGCACGTACGACAAGGTCGGCAGCGCCTTGTACGGCGTGATAGAACCCAACGTGGGCATCTTCTGCGCGTCCATTGTCACCTTCCGCCCCCTCTTCAACCGAGTCGCACCTCGATTCAGCGAGCGGCTGAGCCTCACGGGCGACGACGACAATTTCGGGCAAGAAGACAGGGCCAACACGACTGCGAGGCCGTCCAAGGCAGCCTCTCGACGCCGTGCGCTTTTCTCTGCCTTGCTTCCCAGCCACGCCGATAAGAGCTTCATCATGCTGTCCAGCGACTTGAGCAGCACCGCGTCGGCCGAGGCCCGCGCCGGGGGGAAGAAGAACGGCACCGTGCAGAACTCCGCCGCTCCAGTTGCCGAGGATCCGTGGCGTTCGGGGCAAGATGGGGCGTCACCGGGTGGGCGTGGGTCACGATCAGAACAGCCAGCTGGGTTGGAAGAGGGAATCAAGACTTAATGACAGCTATGAACATGATTTGCTAAAAGGAAAAAAAGAGACCGAGACTCGACCCGCCTACAACCGCTTGCACAGCCGGGTCCCGTACTCAATAACGTCCCACTGCTCCGTCCCAGGCGTCGACAGAGCATAGAAGACGCCGTTCGGGTCCCATGTCTCCTTCAGGCTCTGCAGCTTCGGGTACACGGTCGGTCCCCAGAAGTGATTCTGCCAATCCTCCTGGTATGGATCTGCCTCGTTCACATACGCACACCCGTTCGGCGCCGCGTCCTTCATGGCCCGATCCACCGTGTTGGTCAGCAGATCCTGGATATCCGCCTTCTGCTCCAGCGTCGCGTCTTCGGGGAGAGGAATGAGGTAGAGAAGGAGGTCGGATGAGTCGCGGAACCTCGGGTTCGTGGCGCTGATGCCCGCGGGCTGGGAGGCGTGGCCCGCACCGAACAGGTGGCCGACCATGTACCCCTGGTTGACCAGATCGGCGCGCGGGCTGAGCGCCGTCTTGAAGGCCTCGATGATGCCGTCGTTGTTGTCCTCGATATCGGTGCGCCCAAACGTCCACCCGCTCGTGAGCGTCGGCGGGCCAGCCGTCTCGTCCTCGAATAAGTCCAGATACAGGTCGAAGAAGGTGGCGTACTGGTTTGTCGGGGCGCTGTAGAAGGGTACGCCCGCTGCGCTGAGATCGGACTTCAGGGGCGCCAGCACGGCTTCGAGCTCCGCAGCCGTCTGGTTGTAGGCCACAAAGGGACGCACACGCAGGCTGCCGGGGCCGACTGAGAAATACACATACAAGCCGTTGTCAACAAAGTAGTTCGCGTGGCTGTGGAAGATGCGCACGCCCTCCCAGAACAGCTCAGTATCGTTCGTGAGCGTCGAGTTGATGTACAGCGTCGCGCCCGCCGATTGGTGCTCGGGAAAAGTCTTGAAGGACGCCGACACGACAACACCGTAGGAACCGGGACCGCCGCCCTTGAGCCCCCAAAAGAGCTCGGGATTCGTCTTCGCGTTTGCCGTCACGAACTCGCCTTCGGCTGTGATGACATCAAACGACAGGGCATTGTCCGCGGCGAAGCCGAAGATGGTGGTCAACGGACCGTGGCCACCTCCCTGAACAAAACCGCCCGCGATGCCCACGGTCGGACACTCGCCAGTCACCACCGTGACCGGGGGATCCTGCGCGACGGCTTGCCGGAGCAGCGCACGCCCCTGCACACCAGCACCGACGGTGACCGCACTGCCCTTGTAGCCACACGACCCGCCGGCCCAGCTCTTGGTGAACTCGACGTCCTGGAAGCTGTGCGTGTTGATGACCAGCGCGCCCCAGCCCGTGCTGCGGCCCATGAAGTCGTGGCCCGTGTTGCGCACGATCAGGCGCAGGTTGTTCTCGCGCGCAAAGTCGACGCCGGCCTTGATGTGCGCCTTCTCTTTCGCCCGGATCACGTACGTGCCGTAGTAGCCCGGCGTGCAGGCCGTCGCGGGGTCCGTCGTCGGCACGCACGACGAGTTGGGTGAAGTACTTCCACATGAGCGTCGCATCCTGGTCGTTTATCCACTGCTCCTTGGGGTAGTTGGGCCGTGACGTCCGGCGCATTGGGCCGCGTCGTAGGTCGGGGATGGGTCTCCGAGCGTGCCCTCGAAGGTGTTTGTGGCAAGGCCGCCTCCGGGCGGCACGATGACGGCGGAGGGTTGGCCGCCCACGGGTGGGTGTTGAAGCGCCCGCCCACT